TTTGTCCTCTCGGCTAAAAAGTCTTGATGGATCTTGTCACAGTCCGTTGCGACACGTATGAGGAGCTCCACATAGTCCCAACCATTTGTTATGATTCTCATTGGGTTGATATAGTCCAAAATACCGCCAGCCTCAGGATGCTCTAAGACTCTGGGTAGACCAGTGCCAAGGCTGACGAGACACCCAATTTGTTGATTGTCGAATAGGTCCAGTGCTTCACTGAGAACTTGATTGCAAGGATTGTTGCATCCAACACCGCCATCAACATACAACGCTCTGTTATTGTCGTCATCCGTAAGTGGCATTGGGTCAAAGAATTTGGGCGCAGCCGACGTCGCTCGAGTAGCTTCCCAAATCTTGCAAGTGATCCCGGGGTCACCTTTTTTAGGTTTGTAGGATCTTAGCAAAACCGGCTGATTTCGTTCAGGCTGACCCTCCTTTGATGTCGTGACAAACCTGCGGGAATCCCATGAACAATGAATATCAAGCTAAACGCATCAACCTACACGTAGCATGGTTTCTGATTATTAAGATTGGTACCACGAAGGAAGGCTTCCGGATCTCCGTGCGTTTCATACTTTTGGACGGTAACCTTCACCACTGCTTCGAGGACTTTGGAGTCGTATCGTGATCTTAATATCCCACGTAAACTCCAGCTTTGCTCATTTCCAAAAATATCCTTTGATAACTGCTCATATAGTTGTAAGCATCTGCTAACCGGCAGACGAAGTCTTCCTAACAGAATGGCGATGATACCACCCGTTGACGAGCCACCCATTAGGTCCTATCATATGATTAGGTTTATTTCATCATTTGAAACTTGACTGACGAAGTAATCGCAGGGTAGCGGTTCGGCTACATCGTCGAGCGTGGCAGCAGGGTCCGTAAGTTTTAGTTTGTCAAGTAGTTTCCATTTTATTCGCCACATAATACGCTCCAGTACTACCAGCTCGGAATATCCACGAACCCCACCGCCATCTTAGATCATAAGCCTTCGTTGACTCCTGTTATAGGTTCATACATACCCAAAGACAGAAGCATGACTGGTCTAGTGTTAGTTGATGTCGCCATTTCAAACCCTGGAGATCAAGAGAGGAGGAGGGGAGGGACAAGAATCCTGCTCTCAAAGTTTGCTGTTCTGCAGTTGGCGTCTATGCTGTATAATGATTGTGGGCGGCCATTCTCCTCTCCCTTTATTCTGGATCTAAGCCGTGTAAACCCGCATTCAAGTTCAAACGATGTCCACTCTCCCTCCAAGTTTGGGTATCAACTTGAAGATAACGGTAGGCAAAACTTGTGCATTTTTGCCTCGATAGGGGGGGCATGCTATTTGCGAATCGGAGGATTGATGGCATTTGCTGGGGCTCTGCTATGAAAGGAAGACGAGGGTCGGAGTTGACGCGCTATTCAAGGTTGGACTGGTTTTCGACGATTAGAGGCGGCCGCAACTTGTCCTACACTATGAACACCGATAATGGTCCCAACGAAACCACTGCACTCCTTTCTGCTAGCAAGGGCATTCTAATAAACAAAATGGACAAGCATGATCCCTTGACCCTCAGCGCAGCACGACGCAGAGCAATCCTCACGGCGTTGTGGATAGGCACATTCATGGGTGTAAGTACTGGATAAAGCTCTATATAGCCCCTGATATACTTCTTTTGCTCATATTCCTGTTTATCTTGCAGGCCATGAACAGTATGTTGCAAGCTAACTATGACGTATTATTGACATTACTAACTCGTGTGTCCCGGAATAGCTACTCTAGTCGCAACTTGTAAGTACCTTTGAATGTATGAATATTCTACTAACAATGGACAATACAGTGATGAATGCTATCTCATCAGAGTATCAAGCCGCAAATCAAGCTGGATGGCTAGGAACTTCCTTTTTGCTCGCCACTTGTGCCTTCACCCCCCTATATGGCCGTTTATGCACTGCAATGGGGCGAAGAGGAGCCCAACATGTTGCACTTGTATTCGCTGGATTAGGAACTCTGGCATGTGGACTAGCTCCCAATATCAATTTCCTCATCGCCGCACGATTTGTGACCGGCATCGGGGGAGGTGGTCTATTTGTCACTACAGGGTGAGTAAAATAAGTACTTTTGAGTTATTATCATTGAAAGACAGTCAGAATCGTCACTTCCGATATGTATTCCATGAGGGTGGGTGTATGGCTACCTCTAGTTTCTAGTCGCTCATCGTCAGCAGGATCGAAGTTTAACACAGGGCGTAGCTGCCGTTGTGAATGGTGTAAGTGAGACAAAGAGAAAGGTATCAGTACCGACAAATTCTCTATAGATGGGTCTGGGCATTGGAGGCTTCCTTGGAGGAGAGATTATGGACAGGTAAGCTTACTTGTTACGCTTCTATTGTATATCATGCTAATAGCGGAGTAGTCTGGGATGGAGATATGCCTTCCTACTTCAACTCCCGTTTTATGCGCTTTCTTTCATCTTGACATCCATCTTCCTGGATTATCAAACACCAGTATGTAGCGGCCAATTCATGAGTTAATGTCTTCTGACAGTAGTAAAGGGTAGTAGTAAGGATACTAGACAAGTACTCAAAAGGATTGACTATGGAGGAACGTTCACCCTCCTACTCTTGGTAGGTGGTAAATTGCCAAGATTCTTATTGCTGAACATTTGGACATAGGTTGGGAGCTCCCTTCTGTTCCTGGCAACTAAATACAATGCGGAATACCCAGTAAGTGGTACTGATAAATCTGAAATGATTTGTCCTAACCTTTCTCAGTGGAGTCACCCTTATGTCTGGTCAAGTCTGATATGCATGATGGTCTCATTGCTTGGATTCATCCTTATTGAGCTCTATGTATCACCAGAACCAATCATGCCACCGTTCTTGTTGCATCAACGAGTACCAGTACTGGTCAGTGTGAGCAACGTTCTGGTTTCAGTTTGCAATTTTGCAGTCACGTATTTCTTTCCTGTGTGGTTTGAAACGGTTAAACTGGCAAGCGCGTCCTCTGCAGGTAATATATCGCACATTGCCCGGACTGTTACTGATACCTGCTACCTTAGGAGCCCATATTGCACCTAACAGCGTGGCAATGTCGCTTGGTTCATTATTTGCTGGGTATGTAGACGACATTCTTCTGGAGCATACTAACAATAAAGTAGCTGGATGATGCATCGAACAGGGAAGTACAAGGTATTGAGTGTTGTATTTGGAATCTTTCCTACTCTTGCTGCCGTCCTTATCGCGTCTCTCACTGCGGACTCGAGTGAATGGCTACAATGGTTGAGCTTGGTCGGTATCCCATCCACGAACGTAGATGAACACTGACAATACTTTCTAGATTCCCCTCGGATTTGGTAATTCTGTCGTGCTCCAGACAACTTTAATTGCATTGCTTGCTTCGGTCGACAGTGAGTGGCCCTTGTAAAGGAGAGTTATGTCAGCTGACATTCTTAAGAGCCGTCAATGGCAGTGGCCATGGGGTTTGTACAACTGTTCCGTGGTTTGGGTCAAGTATCCGGAGTAGCGATATCTTCTGCTATGTTCCAGTCATTACTGAATAAGGAGCTCCACGCAAGACTCACAGATCCTGGTTCAGAAGAGGTCAGTATTGCCTCTACTTCTTGAATATGACTGACCAAACTGTCCAGCTCATCGAGAAGGTCAAGCATTCCTCTGAGATTGTGCGACAGCTACCGCCTAACCTTCAGGAACCTGTCCGAGGATCGTATGCTTTTGCATTACGAGCCGTTTTTATCATGGCGGCTTGTTGTACTTTTGCAGCATTCCTTGTCAGACTTCCTGTGCGTCTTTTTATCGAGAAATTGTCTGATGATAGTACTGAGTTCTACTTGAACAGATTCCCGAGCTCTCTATGGATGAAGATGACGAAGAAAGGTCTGACATCGAATCTGGAAATGACAGCACCACCCCAACTCCACGTTTCTCGGCATCCCCTACTAGAAGTCTGGACGAGGAAGAGCCCGAAAGACGAGATACGGTTCCTATATCCATACCATCTAGACCTGGGGCACAAAGGCGGCTATCCACATATCAGCATACGCCACTGGATGTCGAAAGAGGAAGATCTGCTAGAAATCTTCGCAATTCTCGTGGTTTAAATTCCCTTTAGGGCCAAAAATAGCTTTTCAAAGAGCATTCAGAGCGAATCTAGTCGGCCTTATATGAAATATTCTCATCATATCTTTACTCCATCCCAATCATCGGGGTCATTCATGTTTCGAGTCCAGCATCATGCATCTCACGCACCATTGTCGCATAATCCCCGTCTTGTCTCATAAGTATATAGATAACATTTTTCTGTATTTAACGCCAGTCATCATTGGATGGATTATATGCATATTTTACCTTTGACCTCATGCATGGATTGATTTGCCACACCACTTTAACCCTACCCTATATTCTCGTGTCCCTACAAGGGCTAATTAATAGAACCAGAAATGTCCACAGAAACTCAACCAGCGATTATAAAACGGTTAGAAGAATCTCTAATAAACCGTATCGCAGCAGGAGAGGTATCTGCCGTGTTAACTTCAATTGACGTATAACGCCTAATTTAGCATCCTTACAGATAATACATAGACCTTCTTCTGCTCTCAAGGAGCTCCTTGAGAATGCGTTGGATGCTGGAGCTACTTCCATCAAGATAACAGCCAAGGATGGCGGTTTGAAACTTTTACAAATTCAAGACAATGGATCGGGAATAAGAGTATGTCGACTATTTTCAACATATCAGGTCTACATATAACCAATTTTTGCAGAAAGCAGATCTGCCAATACTCTGTGAACGATTCACAACATCCAAGTTGACAACCTTCGACGACCTCTCAGCGTTGACCACATACGGATTCCGAGGCGAGGCACTCGCATCCATTTCTCATGTAGCACATCTTTCTGTTGTGACAAAGACGAGAAGCGACTCTTGCGCGTGGAGGTCGGTTGTGTTGACTTCGGCGTACACATTCCTGAGCTGATTCAATCAGAGCTTGCTATGCCGATGGTATTCTGGTGCCTCCAAAACCTGGTCTTACTGCTGATCCAAAGCCTTGCGCGGGAAACGATGGTACTCTCTTAACGGTATGTCATGCACATCGTTCATGACGCTCTTCTTGACACGTTTATCAGGTTGAGGATCTTTTCTACAATACACCAACGCGTCTGGCTGCTTTGAGATCTAGTTCGGATGAATATAAACGTATACTCGATGTGGTAACCCAATACGCCGTTCACAATCCCGCTATCTCTTTCCAATGCAAAAAAGTAAATAGCCCTTTTGTGATCTTTTCCTGGACACTGATGAACGATAATAGGTCGGACAAGCGCAATCTGATGTCACCACTCCGGGTGGTTCCAGTGTTTTGCAAGCAATTGGCCTTCTCTATGGTACATCTCTATCAAAAGACCTGGTCCACGTCTCTATCGACAAACAAAAAGAGAGAGAAACCCCCTGGAGTGCAGAAGCGTATATATCTAATCCTAATCATCAATCTAAACGTTTCACGTTTCTTCTCTTCATCAATCGTAGGTCCTCCTGAGTCGCCTTGTGAATCCAACTAATATGATAAATGATAGCCTCCTCGTTCAAGAAATGCACGAGGTCAAAGGTAAAATATGCATATAATCCATCCAATGATGACTGGCGTTAAATACAGAAAAATGTTATCTATATA